AAAGAAACGCTCTATCCAAAAAGACTGGTCGAAACATAAACTATTTATGTGCGGGGAAAAAGACCTTCATCCTTCAATAATTGACTCTCAGAAAATTTTGCTACATAAATTCATTAAAAATCAAGTATTTTGAAAAAATTTTAAACTGATGGATAAAAATGATTCTCGGTCTCGCTATTTTAAAAGTAAATGTCCTGAAGTGAAACAAATGATGCTAAGATGAAGGAAGACGTTTTTGCTTGTTCCTAAATACCGATACTGCACCACCGATGAAAAGATGGAAGAACTCTTACATCTTGTTAAAACTGCAGAGAGGGTATAATTGAATAGTATTACACAAAATGTTTAAGGAAGCATACCATGAGATTGTGGGTAAATTGTTACAGTTATTCACAGATAATTGGTGTGGGATAATAGGTATAATCTCTCAAAAATCTTTTCTTGAACGTTCATTAGCATTTGTCTCCCCCCGAAAATCTCAGTGTAGGCAGACCAAAAGTGAAAAACATTTTCACCAAAAAATCTATGGCAGAGAAGTGATATCATGAAAATGGTAAGTATTTTTGCTTATTATTTCTGGACGCAGGAAAGTGGTATTGTAAGTGCCACACACGCACTACTACTACATTTTAGATGAGTCAACTACTAGAAGCAGGCTTTCATTTAATTACTAACCTTTTTTAAATCTTTGATTTTAAAGTTTACCAAGGTGTAATAAAAAACGAAGGTGATGGAGAGAAAATATTTATACATTTGAATTTTGCGTAAAACGTTGAGATCCTTTTTTAAAATATAATTTTTAATCTATTCGAGTGGAACAATTTCAAGAGCCTTAGAATTCTTTCGTCACCCAACCATACTCAAAGCATCATATAGTTGGAAAAGTTTCTTCGCAATCTACATTCCAAGGAAACCCTTGTTCTGGAAGAAAAGGGTTATTGTCCTAGCAAAAAAGTAGAGTGCATGTTCTTGCAACTTGCTCTTCTTGATACACGAGTGTCAGGTCAATGCCCTAGTTAGGAAGTGACATTCCAAAGAAATAAAATATTTTGACCAAACACAATATTAACTGCAATCACTCGTGTCACACGTTTGTTCCTCACAAATTGTCACTAAATCTTCCATTTCAGCAGACTGCCCTTCTGGTACAATACCGATTAAGAAAGTGAAGCTAGAAGATATTCAGGTTTATTGGTATATTCCACAAGACTACTCTGCCTTTTGTGAAGAAATTATGTAATGACTCATGATGTGTGGTGAATTTGAATGATAGTCATATTAAGGGGGTCGAAACCAAAACGGTATAAATGTCACTGAAATTCTGAGAAATCTGATTTTTTAATTCAATATTACTGTAAAGCCATGGTTTTGTGTTTCATCATTAAAACTACATTTCAATTGTTCATTAAAACCACTAAAATACATTGCCACTGAAGTATAACCTAAAATGAACATGTTTTTCTCAGAATTTATCAAATGTCACTTATTACGTCAGTTTTCATCCATTCATATGTCTTTACCAGACTTGAGTGTGTCTGCCAAACTTTTACATTGCATTAAATAATCGCCTAACGCTAACTTGAAGTTTCAAAAGTAGGGTCTTGCTCCTCCAGTTGCACGTCGGCATCTGCCTCATATTCCGAACCAGAGAGCCAGACGTATCCCGCAGCAAGTGGTATATGAGAGACAGTCACTATCATAACAGCCAGAAAACTAAACTCAAAACTATTTGTAATAATTCACATTTAATCAGAGTTCTTATTTATCTATCAGAAGTGCTTTATATGCCATTCTAATTAAAAACTAATTATTACACTTTTGAGTTCTTTTACTTCCTCCGAATTCAGTTACGACATTTGCAAAAACAAAAAAATCATTACGTTAGAACGTAAGTTGAAATTCCCTTGACGCTCCTGTAGTTCAAGCGGTGGCCGTTAGATGGCAGCATTTGTACAGATGACTGGAGGGGATGTCGAGGACACTTCTTTATTTCTGCCTGGTTGTGAGTAGATACCAGGTATTTAAATACAATAAGCAAGAGAAATAAATATTTCTTTTCGAAATATTATTAAATTTATCAATTTACAGAGAAAAATACTAGAAATGGTCGCGGATGTTCAGATTGTTAGAATGACATTAATAGATTTGATGGACAGTGTATTAGTTACAGAAAGTTCTAGAAGATAGTTACAGTTAACCATTGAGAACTTGATGCAATCAGAAGTAGCTCCGGTTTTGTTCCTTTTAGAGTTAAACACTTCGTCCTAAAAAATACTAGTTTGATTCGTTGATGAATGACGAATCTGAGAAGTGTAGTTCTGATTGTAATTCGTATCAAATGCTCAACTATGATCAAACAAACAAGCAGACAAATTCTTTTTTTGAAGTAAACCAAAATACAAAATTTAATGTTTAAGATCTTAAACAATCCTGTCCTAGTGACTAGTGGAAAATGAGAACAAAATATTCATTATAAAGATCTGAGTTTTATAATGACTTATCCGAGTATACAAGTTTCGGTGAAAGTGTTCAGCCAGTAGATATGTAGAAAATGAACATATTAGTCATGAATAACTCCCTTATAACTTCATTAATGACATTAAATGTTTTACAACCCATTCCATCTCACCTACTGGCTAACCGAAAGATGTCACGGTGACAGGTTAAAGGTATTGATGGGGAATATTGCGGTAGCAAGAGGACGAGATTCGCAAATTTCAGAATGTTCTATGAAGTCAATCAATTAGTTTTCTAATAATAGGCTGTAGATAATAACATATGGGGTTTGCAGTGTTATAGTGACGTTCTGGTAACAATGCTCTTCATGTTTATATTTTTGCAATAATACGAATAGCACGGTAAGTGGAACAAGATCGAGCAGACAGTGCGGTCGAACAAATAAAACAAAGAGAACGGATTAAGACAGAACTGAAACACCATCAGACTGAAACTGAGTTTTCGAAATGAAAATTATGTATATTTCATTATAAAATTATACAACACATAAAAAATCTTGACTACACATTTTCCAATCTTCAGAGTGTGCTTAAACAAATCGCTTTTTTAATTCTTGTATGGTCCTTTGATTTGTTTGAGGGCGACATGCACAGCTTCACAACATTTATTAAACAATATACAATTAATATGCAATTGAATAGTTCATTTCAGAAACCCGTCAAACGCCAAAATATAAAACACGGGTTAGGGACGGATTATTGTTCCAGGAGGATAGAGACATCGTTTAGTGCATATTTACATGAAAAATATTTAGTTATCAACTTCTCTAATAAAAAAATATTTTGAAATCTGAAAAATTGGGAGAAATATCCTCAGTTTTCTTGAAATGAGGAATTTGGCGTTTGACGGTCTTCTGTAATAAACAATTCAATTATTCTATTACACGTTTTGTACACGTATAGGTTTTGAAGGTCACTCGCCTTCATCATGAGGATCTGCTTTAAATGTGTTTTTTTGTTTCGAAGAATATAGAAGAATATATTATTCCATAAAATATTCTCAAGTAAAAGAAGTGGAACTAAAACAAATCACAGGAACATCATTATAAATTTCATGTTGTTGAATTTCTGTAGTATTTGGTGAGTTTGTACCAATTGCCTCACTCATGTTTTTACGTGTAAATTTCACAGCCTCCTCCTATTTCATCCTATTTCATCCTCCTCCTATTCGTCTGAAACTCGTTGGGAACGTCTTTTTTTCATTAGAAGAATTAAAAATATACTAGGAAAGACATTCTTATTCATTCAAGTAATTTAAACAAATTGCCTTATTTTTTACTGTATATCACCGTACATAAACATAAATGCTCATAGTATTATTTGTTCTTAAAGTTAATTGAAAAAAAACTATTTCAAATCATCTAAAGAATAATTCCCCTCAAGAGATGATTTTTTCACATTCTAGTTTATTATTACAGCACACGAAAGAAATTTACTACAGTGAAACTTGAATAACATACCCTTGTAACAATTCACATCCTCTAATATTAGAACACAATCTACTAAATTTTACAGGAGAGACGACAATATTTTTGTTCATTTATTTATAATGTACTGTCTCAAAAAAGGAACCAATAATTTTTATTACGGAAATGTGTAGAAATAGAAAGACTATTACTAGAGAATACAATACAATAAAGAAGAGTATCCACCAAATTGTTTCCTGGTCTAAGCAAAAGCCCACAGCGCAGAGACTCGACTCTAAAACAAGACATTCATTCACCAGCAGAGATCAATAAAGTCTAGATGGAGAAAGGAACTTAATCACCACCAAGATGCCGACAACCGGAGATGAGACAGACGCTTTGTTTCAACTCCTCTTGACACCTCCAGAGCTCGTCCTCATCCGACATTGCTAAACTGCAGAAGTTCGTAAATAAATAGTACGAGGTTGAACACTGAGCTGTTCCTCTTCAAGAAAACTAACTGGCTTTGATTATGTAATGAACACTATTTTCTTACATATTCTTAATTTCAAAGAGATTTCATCCAAAAACATGTTGTTCTTCATGGTTTGCCACAAATTTAAATGATTGCAAGCCATTATCTACAGCGATTTATGTAAGTGACAGTCACATGCAGTCTATGTAACTACTATTCTAAAATTCTTCGTACCTTTGTAGGTAAAATCAATATCAAAGATCAACGACGTACACTTCCTTGGAGAAAAATGAACGAATAAACGTGTAATGAATCAGTTGATTAGAAGTTAATTAGTTACATAAATGTACATTCCCTTGGATCTTTTAGCTCGCTGACGAGAGAGTAACACTAGACAACTAATATAGTCGGCATTCAGAAAATTTCATTGTTTAATTTAATTCTGCAGATCTTCAAAAGGTTTAAAAAACAGCGGGCAAATGTTTGAAGCCAAAAACCTGAACAATAATAATAATAATAGTAATAACAATAACAATAACAATAATAATAATACATAACAATTTTATGTAGAAATGGTACCAACATTTTATTATTTTCTACCAGTCATAGACCCCCATGTCTGAAACTTCTATAATTTGTAGCTAACTGCAAATATAAACAATGAAAAAGAAAGGGTACTTTGACTCATTTTCACAAGAAATCTAAGGAAAGAAAAATTAACCACGCAGGAGAGAGTAAAATTATTGAAAAAATGAGTTACAAATGTCAACACCCTCATGCCAAGGGACCAGACTTTATCATCCTTCCTTAAAAGTTGTAACGAAAGTATGGAAAAATTTCTAAATATAGTTTTAAAATCGAATAATTTGAATAGTAAAACCTTTTTTAGCAGATTACTTCACCCAGTAAAATTCGAAAATACATAATTCTATATTTCTCATGATACAAACATAATACTCTCGTATTTTATTTTGTGCTCATAACTAATTTTCACGTTAACATTACGTATTTGTGATTTAATAGATGTAACAACCAATCTAACCTTTGCAGATGGCTCTAATATCAAAGTGGCTTATGATCTTTGAACGGATTGCGAGCAATCACATATTTACCAGCTTTGATCCTTGATGGGCAACGGTAAGTATCGGTTCCCTTCCCTTCCATACTGACTTTCCCTTCCCTCCCTGGCCCGGTTGTGGTTCCGGTTCCCTCTCCTGCTCGCGCCATAGAGGAGAGACACTACTAGAGTGCGCTAAGAGTGCTTTTTGACTAAATAAATCAAAATATATATATATCAAAATAAAAGTTTATTTTCCCCCTCTACAAATCCTTGAAACATTTTGATAACTTGCTGTTAGATGTCTGATGTGGATTATCAATAGCAGAATGTCTAGCATTGAGTAGTAACAGAAACTTGGATTAATGCCTCACATGGAATTAATTTATTTGACAAATATTTTTTATTTACTATCCTATGTAATAGTACTTGTAAAACAGGCGTAGTGGGGTGCAAGGTTGAGAGTGACAAGTAGGACAAAAATTGGAATTTTCACGCACTTAATTAAATGAAGCAGAATAACTTAAAGTAACTTTTCCGCTATAAGCAACATTCGTAGGGCTGTGTAGTAAATAAGAAAATAACGCTTGAGTGAAACATGTTAGATACTTATTAAATGAAAACATTTCGAACGAGGCGGGTGTATAGCAGATGCCTGCTAGCTGTCCCACAGTCACGTGACTCGGGCGGCGAGAGATGGTCGATGCCTCGCTGGGCTATCCTCCGCACCCACTGTGCGCACTCTAGAAATAGAACGATTTTTTCTTAAGATGGGATAGGTGACGTTTTCGCGAAACAAGTGAACATCCGTGTACGTTGAGAGAAGTAAATGCACGTGCACCGTCACGAGTACGCAATCTTCACATCCAAGACTCGGTTTTAAAACAAAACCATAATAACATTATTCCACATAAATAAATAAATGCATAAATGTAATTTTAGAAGAAAAAAGAAAGAATTTTTACAGAAGAGCACAGTTGTGCACTTCTAATTTCAATTATTCTCGAGAATATTTTCGTCGGACGAGGACATCACAGCCAGGGAGCGTCGTAACTATTTACAAGTTCGCCAACTGCAAACGAACGAATGGAGGAAGGAGAGTCTAATAGGTTCAAGGATACAACGACCACAGAATCGTCAGTTGTTTTGCCAGCACTAGCTGTCAAATCATCCCATTCCAAAGAAAACCGGACAATATCTCTACTCTGTGGTCGCGCGGCGGCGGCCGGCCGGCCGGCTGGCTGCCACTCACCACACGTCCGCCCAGTCGCAGTCGCAGGCGCAGTCGCAGGCGCAGGGGCAGGCGCAAGAGCAGTCGGTGGAGGCGGGGGCCGACGTGCTGCGCCCGGCCAGCGGCAGCGGCAGCGACAGCCGCGGCATGATCTTCAGCGTGATGGGCCGCCGCCGCCGGAACGAGTAATCTGCAACGCACGCCACACTACACTCGCGGCGCCGCTCCGCCCGTGCTTCATCCACACGAACGCACACGCGCATGCACAAATGGAACATGGCAGAGTAAATAGTATGGAATTGAATTGAATTAATACCTTATTGTACGTAACGAGACTCGGGCCATTAGGCCCGCTCTTCCGTCTGAGCATAGTATATCGCAGGAGAGTCTTAACCAGATTTAATTTTATTTTGCGGGAACGTGTCAGGTTCACAACAGTGTATTCAATGTACAACTGGCTGACCCTTTTCTCCGTAACATATTTTCGAATTACGGAATCTTAACTTCCCTATTTTTACTTCATCAAATCGTGAAAGTCGCTATTAGCGTTAATGAAAAGTTTTAGTTTCCGAATGTAAAATGAATTCACTTAAATGCTTTTAATATGCAAAACGTTCCATACAGATTTGCACTTCCACATTTTACGTGGCCTACTGCTGGTTTCTAATTCCTTTTAACAGCTTTCTAAGTATTGTGCATCGAAATGAACGGATAGTACCCAAGTATACTTGCGGGACCTATGTGTAACTGAAAGGAATGCTGGAAATGTGTCAATCAATAGGAAAAAAGACGAAGTTAAGAGACCAGAACGAAAGAGTAATATATATATATATATAT